TTATGGCTTCTTTCTTACCAAAGGCCTATGATCACTAAGTTAGCATACTCTTAGAGTGGTGACTGTTTATTATCTTTTTTTTGGTTGGTGGTAGCGGGGAGGATTATCATACTCTTCCTGAACATTCAAAAGCCTAACATATATAAGTTAACCACTTAAGGAAAAAGACACCAATGTTTTCAACAAAGCTATAAAAATATATTCTTAAAAAAATGGACATACCATGAAGAAGGAATACTCAAAAAATCTCGACTAAGCACTACTCCATGCTAATGCTAGGCACCACTCTAGTTGCTGAGGATAAAGTAGTGAGCAAAATAAAGTTACCTGCTCTTGATGGAGCTTATAGTCTAGTAAATAGATAATAGAAGATTAAGTGAAATTATATATGCAGACATATTAATAAATTTTGGTTTGCTTTTGTTTTAGACTGAGTTGTAACTGCTAGAACTGAGTTGTATACTTACTAATAATTTTGAATTAAGAATAGTAACTCATCCATAGAGAGCTAGCACAGCAACTGCTATTAGTAAAATTGTAGACATTTTCCAAAAGAGGGGGAAAAGGCATTTACTGGATGCTTCTTATACGCATCAGATAATGGGAGTATATGTAATTTTAGATGTACTCTTGAAAAAGCAAAACAGGGAAGATGACCTTAGGGATGTAATTCTAGAAAAGTTCACTTTTTAACCTATGGAATAACTCCTTTGTTGGAATAAGACTTCTACACTCTTTGTAATTTTACCAGCAAGAGGTTCTTCTAGGATAATAAGCATCCTAGAATTATGTGGGGAGAATCTTTTGATTGAGAAACAGATTCAGGCTCAAAAGCAGCAATTTGCAAGGTGTGGTAGCTAAAAGAAGTATATCCAACATATCTATTTTCACAATATAAACCACAAAAAGAAAAGTACCACAAAATCTTGGCTGATTAGGATATCTAGAAGGTGGAGAGTTAAAGTATGGTAAGGGCAAAGGTCAAACAATGTTAAGAAATAGAGCCCTAAAGATGAACGCAAATCGGGTTTAAAATGTATACAGAAAGGAATAAGATATCAAAAAGAGTCTCTTTTAAAAGTCTGCCTGGGGTCAGCCCTAGACCCTGAAAAGATAATACTTTTCTTTCTTTTCTGCAACTATGGGCTGCTCAGTCCTAATACCCAAAGTTTAGAAATATTAATATTTATAAGTTAAATCATAGTATGAGTTAAATAGGCTTATATGCATTATGCCCTGGAAACTCCATCTACATGATATACATTGTTCCTGTGGGAAAACATAGTTTAAGTTCCAAGTAATCAATTTATGGACTCTTGGAATACAACTCTTGGTAGTTGACCTGACTAGAATGGTCCAGTTGACGTCATGATTAGAATAATCAACGTTTCCACAATATCTTGCAAAACTGCAGAATTTTATAACAACCTGCCTAAGTGAATTGTGCCAAAGATCAACTATAAGTGGCAGACTGAAGTCTAGATTTTGTGGCTCGCTACCTTATTAAGGAAAGCTGGCAGAGCTGCTAAAAGAACTAATATTTGACACTGCCATTTACATTATATAAATGACTGTTTTTCTCCCTTGCAGCTTGGGCATGATAATGTAGAAGAATTTAGGCTAACTCTTAGGATATATTCTGAAGATGTCAAGAGAATAAGAACTCTTATTCTGGATCCCTGAATTCTCCACACATATTATCATGTAGGAACTGTGGCTGTTATTAGGTTAGTAAGCCTAGCAACTTTACACATTACCAGGCTGTCTTCAGTCTTTAGGTCACTGGAAAAATCTGTCAGATAAACCACCAAACCCAAAATACTAAAACCTGAACATAGTCTCTTAAAGGCTGGACTTTTCTCAATAATGAGGGTGTTTTTGTCCTGGCACTGCAATTGAAACAGCCAAAGAACCACTATGCTAATCAACTAAAATTATTTTATAGGTCTCAAATTATATATGTGTCATGGAGAAAAACAGATGTTAGGAATAAGCAGAAATAATAAAGTCCCGAAAAGGATAGGATATAACAGATGAGTACTAGAAAAATAATCAGCTAACTAGCACATCTCTCATTAGAGCTATATACTCACAATGCCTATCCCTCTCCCCACCTGTGCACACCAATCCAGGCACCTAGAAGATGTCTGAACTAGCTAGTCTACAACAGCAACTACAGAATAGGTAGGTACTCCAAATCAATTCTAGTTGACTACAAAATTACAGTATCAATTCTGTTTTCAGAGTTAATGATGCACACCTATTAGAAATCTATAGCTTGCTTTTTTTCCTCTTTACTGGAAATAAATGTAAAGAAACGAAAGACCAATTTAAGCCTCACTGTGGAAAAATGCAAATTGTAAGCTAGAATTAGTATCTTAAAAAGATTTGGACTGTCCATTCTGAAGTAATGAGTCAGAGATTATTCTATAGTTTGAATGATTTAAATATGTAAGTTTCAGAAATTGCAAAACTGACAACTCCCTCTCCTTTGTACCTTTAGTTTTCTGAACATACTTGTATGATAGTGTAGATATATTTATGTCATGAGGTCTTAATTCCCAAACTGAGGTAGTTTTGTAGAAAACAGAAAAGTGTCTTAAATGATTCTGTAGTCTTCTTAGTTTCTAAGGAAATTTTTTAAAAATCACTATTAGTCACACCCAACACCATTTATTGAGTGTTTACTACATACCAAGAGTTGTGCTAAGCACTTTGTTCCAATATCTCATTTAACCCCAATAATGGTATGAGGTATGAAAACAAGTATTATCAGCTTGTTTTACTAAGAACAAAGTTTGTTTTAACTATTAGGGGAAAAACTGTTGGCCTTAGAGATGATGTGGACCAACGTTCTCATTTTACATTAAACAAACAAGAGGAACAGAAGAAAGATAAGACACTTGTGTCATGCAGGCAGATATCTGGTATAAAAGAATAAAAGGGCATAGAGAAAAATATACAACCAAAAGCAGTCTTAGGAAGAAGTCTAACTTCTCTAAGAAACAGCCAGAATTCAGAATATTGTACTATCTCGAAGAGATACCTGCACTCCCATGTTCACTGCAGTATTATTCACAATAGCCAAAACATGGGAACAACCTAAGTGTCCACGGACAGATGAATAGATAAAGAGAATATGGCTCTAACTGGTTGTGAGATTGCCTCATAGAATATAGTCCCGCAGAGGCCAAGAAGACAATCTCACAACCAGCTAACCAAAATGGAATTCATCTATCAGCTTCCTAATACATCTCCCTTTTGGTTCAGCATCTCTCAACTATCCACAGTGTTAAACTTAGAAGAAAGCAAAACTCCTGAATTAACTGCCTAGCCTTATTATCACTGTTATTTTTACTTTTAATTTTAACCCAACTGTAAGTGCCAATAAGTAGCAAAAGTGGTCTGCACTTATCTTTTCTAGTGGTATAATAAAAAAATACGGGTTTTACAAGATCTGTTTCACCATATACCACCTCTGCAGCCTACAATAACTTATGATTATTTAACATTTCCATTTACCTTCAAAACAAATACTCCTACTAGAAGCAAGGTGTTTTCTTGTTTGTTTTACTATGAAACATCCGTACTAAAAATGCGAGGAAGTGACTGCTGTCCTAGGATGCCTCAGTGAAATGAAAGTTTCCTAGTCTGCATTCTACCATATCAACATTCCACTTGAAGCAGAGAGATATGCCTAACTAAAGTACATCCTTAATGGAGGAAGAGAGTTCACAAGGCTTCCAATAAGGAAAAGGTGAAAAGGGGAGAACTGTTGAGATCCATCCACAGAAATAAAAGAGGACAAAGTCCAAAGTAGCTTCCATCTAACATCTCAGCAGAGAGTTAGGCGTAATGATGACTGAAAGAAGCCAGACCAAAAGAATACACACTGCATCAATCCATTTCTATGAAACCCAGTAACAGGGAAAAATTAGACTATGATGATGGAAGTCAACAGTGGTTACTTCTAAGTGGAGAGGAGAAGGATACTGTCTGTGAAGGGGTCTAGGGATCCTTCTGGGATGCGAAAAATGTTCTGTACCTTGATCCAGGTAGTGGTTTCATGAGTGCATACGTGTGTAAAAATTCAGAGGGCTTAGCACTTAATATTTGGGCACTTTAAATGTATTAATACCTCAAAATAAAACAAATTGAGTGGGTTGGGGGTCAAGTCAGGACAAGGCCCATAAAAAAATCCTGTAAGATTCTATAAACTTTAATTTTTTCATGTTTTAAAATCTGTGTTGCCTATGATCTTGTGGTGAAAAGCAATAAATGTGTTAAAAGGAAGTTCAGTGTTTCTTTGTAAGTAGCTAGGAAGGTGGAAGCTGGGCAGTCTTCAGTACCTTTGGTATCTGAGTCTGAGGGGGCTAGAAACTGAAAGAAGAGAGTGAACAGTGGTAGGCAAGTGCCTGACACGAAGACAGGAGGACATGGGCAGACAGGGCTTGACAGGCAATAAGAAACCCCACGGGTTCTGCACTCTTATTGGTGTTAGTTAATAATTCATCTACATACCATAATATATTCCCTGATGTGCTGCAGGTACTTTTTAAACTTTATCCCACTTGGTTAAAAATACACTCATTCTTCCAACAGATTTTTTAGAAGTTATTTCCTCCCAAATTAATCTGAATACAAAATCTAACCTCAGGCACGAGGAACATAAACTTTACCATAACCATCCTTAACTCTGGATAATACCAAGGAAAAAACTGTGTGTTATATGATGTGAAGCTGTACACATTCACTTTATAGCTTTCATTAGCTGTTATAACCATGCGCTGTGCTCCTCTGACACATTTATGGAAGATGTTTGCGAAAGTCACAAAGAAGGGGGTACATGAAACCAATGAACAAACCAACCTAGATCAACCAATCCTTTACAATCCCACCATTCAATGAAACAAAAAAGGTGATGTAATGGTCTAAGACAAAGAAAGTAGAATGACCAAGGCCTTATAACAAACCCTCTAAATGGATGATTTCATTCTCACCTTTATCACGATCATAGAGTAAATCTTCTGTTGAGCAAGGGCTACCGTCCTGGGATTCCGGGGGACAGAAGGGGGAGACACAGGGGGAGTGACTGCTGCAACTACTGCTGCGCTCCTGCACAGAGGGGGTCTGCGTGTCGATGCTGCGAGTGCTGCTGCTCCGGTAGTGAGCAGGGAGGGGGGCTCTCCGACCATCCGGGATATCCAAAGGCTGGAAGAGCAACAACCATCACACCGTCAGTGACAGTTCATATACTCCATCCATATAGAAAGCACTGGTGTTTCTTTTGATTTCATTTTGCAGTATTATCGCCACCACAGTTGATTCTTCAGAGAATAAAGATACCAATCTTGTGTCTTAATTTCTGCCAGTCACTTTTAGGTCAGCACTCCCAGTAATACTCTTCAAGGACAGGGGCTTCTTTTAACACTGTATCCCTAGCATTGTGTCTGGCACACAGCAGACATTCAATAAACATTTGCTTTTAAGAATTAGTCATACCGCTCAAGAAGTCACTTTGACTTGATAATAAAAAAAGAGAAATCTCATATTCACAGGTATGGATTTCCGTTTGTTCATTCTTCTTCTTCTTATTTTTTTACAAGCCAGGAACAGATTTTGCAGTTTACCCAAAATTCATAATAAAAGGTTTATTCTATTAGTACTCAAGGGAGGATATTAAGATAACTCAGAACATTTCTTCTAATTTGGTATCCAACTGAGTAGGACTACTAATGACTTTTGCTGAGTTCTAATGCATTGTTCTGAGTGGCAAAAATAAGAAATAGAAATGAAATTATAATCATAGAATCATATATGAATCATATTTTTGACCCGAGAAGACCCTAGACCTCATTAGCACAATGTTTTTACCAATAAATAACCTATAGTTCATTTTTTAAATAAATTTATTTTTGGCAGCGTTGGGTCGTCTTTGCTGAGCGTGGGCTTTCTCTAGTTGTGGCGAGCGAGGGCTGCTCTTCGTTGCAGTGGCTTCTCTTGTTGCGGAGCACAGGCTCTAGAGCACAGACTCAGTAGTTGTGGCGCATGGGCTTAGTTGATCCACAGCATGTGGGATCTTCCCAGACCAGGGCTCGAACCCGTGTCCCCTGCATTGGCAGGCGGATTCTTAACCACTGCACCGCCAGGGAAACCCCAAGAACTAAAGTTTAGAGCTCCTGGTGACATGGTCAGTTAAATGGCATCAGAGCTTCAGCTGCAGTGGACTCTTTCTACTCTGCTTCTGCTGTAAAGATATATCTTGCTCATCAGCATGCTAACAAAGTGAGGTCAACAAATACAATTGTATATATTTACAGTATTTTTGTCATTACATAGGCAAGATTGAAATGCTAGGAAAAAAGAACCAATATATTCTTAGTTTATTTACAACTTATTTTCACTGTTTACTGCTATTACTCTGAGCTTTGTCATTTCAGAGATTTTAGAAACACTGTCAGAGGGAAAATGAAGTAAGATAAAATTAGGCAAGACTCAAAATGTATCAATGTTTTTCTACAACAAATTAAGTGAAGGTCAAAACCTAAAATAAAAACTTCATCTATCTATGCAGAGTTGCTAAACCAAAACTATACCATTTTCACAACCTGACAATGACCGTGCTACTGTAAAGAGAATATTCAATTATGGAATATTAGTTTTGTCAACAAACAAAAAAAGTAAAATTTTCCAATTTAGGAAAGGAATATTCCCAAGGGAATATTAAGTTACTTGGTCAAACGCTAAGAAAATTATTTAAAATTTTTCTTTTACTTAACTAAGTTTAGATTTTAATTACAACACTGCACTAAATTTTAGAATGAACAATTCTAAGAATAAATCATTGGTGCAGGTTTTGGGGGGTTTTTTTGGACAAAATTATGTGATAGGTGTGTGAGGTTTTCAGAACAACCCATAAAGAAAGATCATTTTGGAATATGTATGAGGGTTAAATGACAGAGATCTTTCTTAAAACTTAGATATTTAAGTCAAGGAAAATGCTGCTTTAATAAAATGTCAATATTGGTAATTAGTAAAAGAATAATGTATCAATTTGTAACTAAAAAAAGTTTAAGAATTTGAGTTATCTTTTATTCATGTCCTATTTGATACAATCACTTTGTATTCCCATTTCTGAATCTTTAGCTGGATAATATATATCAATTTCCTTAACCAACTTCTGTTTTGTTGGGGAGGGGGTTCAGAAGAATTAAAATAACAAAACAGATTTTAGAAGTTTACATATTTACACAAAATAATGATGGGAAATATAAAGGCTTAGAAGCTACTGACAGGTTCACTGATGGTGACATTTTGATTTATTAAAACTTGGAGGCACACTTAATCATAAATCTAAAAATTCTTAAAATTAATATTTTAGTTATAACTGTGTAGGTTACCCCACAGTAATTCTGAAGTGGCTACTGTGAAATTAGAATATGACTTACTTAAAAGCAGAACTATGTTATTTTTTTTTTAATTGGAGTAAAATTGCTTTACAATGTGTTGTGTTTCTGCTCTACAATGAAGTGAATCAGCTATATGTATACCTATATCTCCTACCTCTTGGACCTCCATCCCGCGCCCCCACCCCCACCGCCCCATCCCATCCGTCTAGGTCGTTACAGAGCACCGAGCTGAGCTCCCTGTGCTATACAGCAGGTCCCCACTAGCTGTCTATTTTACACATGGTAGTGTATTTATGTCAAACCTAATCTCCCAGTTTGTCCCACCTTCCCCTTCCCCCTGTGTTCACATGTCCATTCTCTATATCTGCGTCTCTATTCCTACCCTACAAATAGGTTCATCTGTAACATTTTTCTAGATTGCACAGATATGTCTTAATATACTATATTTGTTTTTCTTTTTCTGGCTTACTTCACTCTGTATGACAGACTCTAGGTCCATCCACATCTCTGCAAATGACCCAATTTCGTTCCTTTTTATGGCTGAGTAATATTCCACTGTATATATGTACCACATCTTTATCCATTCATCTGTTGTTGGACATTGAGGTTGTTTCCATGTCCTGGCTACTGTAAATAGTGCTGCAATGAACATTGGGGTACATGTGTCCTTTTGAATTATGGTTTTCTCAGGGTATATTCCCAGTAGTGGGAGTGCTGGGTCATATGGTAGTTCTATTTTTAGTTTTTTAAGGAACCTCCATACTGTTCTCCCTAGTGGCTGTATCAATATACATTCCCACCAACAGTGTAGGAGGGTTCCCTTTTATCCATACCCTCTCCAGCATTTACTGTTCGTAGATTTTTTGATGGCCATTCTGACCGGTGTGAGATGATACCTCACTGTAGTTTTGATTAGTGATGTTGAGCATCTTTTCACGTGCTTCTTAGCCATCTGTATGTCTTCTTTGGTGAAATGACTATTTAGGTCTTCTGCCCATTTTTTAATTGGGTTGTTTGTTTTTTTGACACTGAGCTCCATGAGCTGTTTGTATATTTTAGAGATTAATCCTTTGACTGTTGCTTCATTCGCAAATATTTTCTCCCATTCTGAGAGCTGTTTCTTTCTCTTGTTTATGGTTTCCTTTGCTGTGCAAAAGCTTTTAAGTTTCATTAGGTCCCATTTGTTTATTTTTGGTTTTATTTTCATTACTGTAGGAGGTGGGACAAAAAAGATGTGTTTTTCCTATGTTTCCTCTAAGAGTTTTATGGTGTCTGGTCCTACATTTAGGTCTTTAATCCTTTTGGAGTTTATTTTTGTGTATGGTGTTAGGGAGTGTTCTAATTTCATTCTTTTACATGTAGCTGTCCAGTTTTCTCATCACCACTTATTGAAGAGGCTGTCTTTTCTCCATTGTATGTTCTTGCCTCCTTTGTCATAAATTAGGTGACCATATGTGTGTGGGTTTATCTCTGGGCTTTCTATCCTGCACCACTGATCTACATTTCTGTTTCTGTGCCAGTACCATACTGTCTTGATTACTGTAGCTTTGTAGTAGAGTTTGAAGTCAGGGATTCCTCCAGCTCCGTTTTTCTTTCTCAAGATTGCTTTGGCTATTTGGGGTCTTTTGCGTTTCCAAACAAATTGTAAAATTTTTTGTTCTAATCCTGTGAAGAATGCCATTGGTAGTTTGATAGGGATTGCAGTGAATCTGTAGATTGCTTTGGGTAGTATAGTCATTTCACAATTTTGATTCTTCCAATCCAAGAACATGGTACATTTCTCCATCTGTTTATGTCATCTTTAATTTCTTTCATCAGTGTTTTCTGAGTACAAGTTTTCTGCCTCCTTAGGAAGGTTTATTCCTAGGTATTTTGTTCTTTTTGTTGCGCTGGTAAATGGGATTGTTTCCTTAATTTCTCCTTCTGATTTTTCCTTGTTAGTGTATAAGAATGCAAGAGATTTCTGTGCATTAATTTTGTATCCTGCAACTTTACCAAATTCATTGATTAGTTCTAGTAGTTTTTTGGTGGCATCGTTAGGATTTTCTATGTATAGTATCATATCATCTGCAAACAGTGACAGTTATACTTCTTTTCCAATGTGTATTCCTTTTATTTTTCTTCTCTGATTGCCGTGGCTAGGACTTCAAAACTATGTTGAATAAGAGTGGCAAGAGTGGACATCCTTGTCTTGTTCCTGATCTTAGTGGAAATGCTTTCAATTTTTTACCATTGAGTATGATGTTTGCTGTGGGTTTATCATATATGGCCTTTATTATGTTGAGGTAGGTTCCCTCTATGCCCATTTTCTGGAGAGTTTTTATCGTAAATGGTGTTGAATTCTGTCAAAAGTTTTTTCTGAGTCTATTGAGATGACCATATGGTTTTTCTCCTTCGATTTGTTAATATGGTGTATCACATTGATTGATTTGCATATACTGAAGAATCCTTGCATTCCTGGGATAAATCCCACTTGATCATGGTGTATGATCCTTTTAATGTGCTGTTGGATTCTGTTGGCTAGTATTTTGTTGAGTATTTTTGCATCTATGTTCATCAGTGATATTGGCCTGCGGTTTTCTTTCTTTGTGACATCTTTGTCTGGTTTTGGTATAAGGGTGATGGTGGTTTTATAGAATGAATTTGGGAGTGTTCTTCCCTCTGCAATTTTTTGGAAGAGTTTGAGAAGGATCAGCATTAGCTCTTCTCTAAATGCTTTATAGAATTTGCCTAAGAAGCCATCTGGTCCTGGACTTTTGTTTGTTGGAAGATTTTTAATTACAGTTTCAATTTCATTACTTGTTTATATTTTCTAATTCTTCCTGGTTCAGTCTTGGAAAATTGTACCTTTCCAAGAATTGTCCATTTCTTCCAGCTTGTCCATTTTATTTGCATATAATTGTTAGTAGTAGTCTCTTATAATCTTTTGTATTTCTGCAGTGTCAGTTGTGATTTCTCCTTTTTCATTTCTAATTTTATTGATCTGCATCCTCTCCCTTTTTTTCTTGATGAGTCTTACCTAAAGGTTTATCAGTTTTGGTTATCTTCTCAAAGAACCAACTTTTAGTTTCATTGATCTTTGCTATTATTTTCTTCATTTCTATTTCATTTATTTCTTCTCTGATCTTTGTGATTTCTTTCCTTCTACTGACTCTGGGTTTTCTTTGTTCTTGTTTCTCTAGTTGCTTTAGGTGTAAGTTTAGATTGTTTATTTGAGATTTTTCTTGGTTCTTGAGGTAAGACTGAATTGCTATAAACTTGCCTCTTAGAAGTGCTTTTGTTCCATCCTGTAGATTTTGGATCACTGTGTTTTTGTTGTCATTTGTTTCTATGTATTTTTAAATTTCTTCTTAGATTTCTTCAGTGATCTCTTGGTTATTTAGTAGCGTACTGTTTAGCCTCCATGTATTTGTGTTTTTTAGTTTCTTTCCTGTAACTGATTTCCAGTCTCATAGTGTTGTAGTCAGAAAAGATGCTTGATATGGTTTCAATTTTCTTAAATTTTCTGATGCTTGTGACCCAAGACGTGATCTATCCTGGAGAATGTTCTGTGTGCATGTGAGAAGAAAGTGTGTTCAAGCAGAACTATGTTACTAAGTTTCATCTTCTAGTATAGTTTTGCTTAGCAGTTCTTAAAGAATTAGCAAATATGTGTCTGATGATCTCATCCTCAAAAAATTAGACCAATTTTACTTCCTTACATTACTGTTCTTAAATGTTCCTTAATGTATAAAGGAAACATTTTAATGGTATACACAGCTAAGCTAAGAGACATCACAATTTCCAAAGGGTTCCTTTTTGGCCTAATGAATATAACATAAAAATTTAACTCTAGGGAGAGTAAAATGGCACAATATTTGGGGATGGTAATTTTAGCAATATTCATCAAAATTTAAAATGTGCAAATGCTTTGACCCAGCAGTTTCACAGCCAGGGAATTGTCTGCCAAGAGTACACTATGTTTTCTAAAGCACTGCTTATGATGACAAAAACTGAAAACAATCTAAATGCCCATCAGTAGGGGACTTTTAAATTATGGTACCTTCATACAGTGATTCAGTATATATTAGCATACATACACATATTTGGAAGCATATACAATAAACTGTGATTGATGCTTACATCTGCTAAGCAATATTCAGAGTTGGAAAAAGTTTCTTTTTCAATGTTATAAATATAAAATTGAAACTGTGTGAATTTTGAGATGAACTCTAAATCAGTTTTAAAATCTACACATTATTTGAAGGAATTAGATACACAATTGACATAAATTAAATCATATTTTAGTTATAAAAAACCATCAGATAGATAATTAAGCCAAATGCTACTTGATGTTTTCTTTTGTTGAGTATATCTTTAAAATGCGGTCAAATATAGGTTCATATGCAGGAGTGTCCAGATTTCTTTTCTGGGACAGAGGTAATTTATAAAGTATTTTTGATGAATTCAAATGGATCAGAGACCTAAATATAAGAGAAAGCTAAAACCATAAAACTCTTAGAAGAAAACACAAGAATAAATCATTGTGACCTTAGATTAGGCAATCTTTTAGATATGACCCAAAAGAAAATGAAAAGTGAAAAGACAACCCACAGAATGGGAGATATTTTCAAATCATATATCTAATAAGGGATTTTTATCTAGAAGGTAAGAACTTTATAAAGACCTTTTACCAATCAGTAGTAAAAAGACAACCTAATTTTGAAATGGGCAAAGGATCTAAAGAGACAGTTTTCCAAAGAAGATATACAAATGGTCAACACCATGATGAGATACCACTTCACATCCACTAGAATGGCTACAATAAAAAAGACACATAATTACAAGTGTTGTTGAAGATGGAGAAATTGGAAGCTTCATACACAGCCGGTGGGGATGTAACATGGTACAGTGCAGCGACTTTGGAAAGTAGTCTGGCAGTTTCTCAAAAGGTTCAACAGAGTTACCATACAAGCAGTTCCACTCATGGGTATATACTCAACAGAAATGAAAACATCATGTTCACACAAAAACTTGTATATAAACTTCACAGCAGCATTACTCATAATAGCCAAAAAGTAGAAACAATGGAAATGTTTATCAGTTAATGACTGGATAATAAAATCTGTATGATTGAATATTATTTGGCAATAAAAAGGAATGAAGTACTGATACATATTACACTATAGGTGAACCTTCAAACCATTATGGTCAGTGAAAAACGGCTGTTAACAAAGGCCAAATATTGCATGACTGCATTTATATGAAATGTCTAGAACAGGCCAATTCATAGACGGAGAAAGTAGATTAGTTGTTGCCTCATTGGAGGAAAATAAGAGATGACTGCTAAAGGGTATGGAGTTTCTTTTTGGGGTGATGAAAAAGCTGTAAAGTTGACTGCAGCATTGGTTGCACAACTCTGTGAATATGCTAAAAACCACTGACCTGTACACTTTAAATGGGTAAACTGTATAGTATGTGAATTATATCTAATAAAGCTGTAACCCCCCAAAGAAAGACTTTTGAGACAGTCCACAGTATTAAAGAAAAAAGTGATTCAAACATCCCATGTAACCTTACCTTGGACACTTCCTCTTTCCCATTATTTTCTTTAATGAATACCTTTTCTAATTCGGGACTTATTCCTTCTACATTGCAGGGCACACGTGAAACAGATGATTTTGGCACTGATACATTTGACAGTGGCATAGGGACTGATCTTGATCCAGTAGCCTACAAAACAGAAGATAAGGTGTTATCAAATTATTTGTGGCCAAAGAAATCAAGAACTAAAGAGCATGGTAAATCTTAAAAGAGAAACTCAATGAGCAGAGTTATTTTGAAATTTCAAATACAATATAAATTCAGATACACATACAGCAGTTTCGGTTCCAAAGTAAGGAAGTAAGGTAAAAATTATAGAGTCAAAGTAATCCTTTATGTAAGTATAAAGGTATGATTGTAAACTGTACACACTTTTCCAGTAGAATGGCAGAAATCGAGTGTCCTCTGCGCTGTTTAATTTTTTTCTTTTTTGTTTTTACTGGAAAAGCATAGTTGAAATCATGTAAGTTGAGTGTATCACATGACACTTCAGCTCTGCTCTGTGCCTGTGTATGTGTTTAAAAGATTTGTTCCCTGCACTGTGACGATTACCTTCTAGTATTTTTCATTTCCATTTTATCAACCATTTAAGAAAGGCTTTTGGATTACTAAGTAGTGTGGCAACAATATCATGTTAAGTTCAGTAACACTCACTTAACAACTATAAGCTTGCTTTCAAAAGTCCTTTGGAGGAGTTTTCAAAAATTAACCACCTCTCATAGCTGTCCTGCAGGAGGTACCACAAAGCGTAAGACAAGCCTTTTGATGCTCAAGGAACTTAAAGAACAGAAAGGAAATAAAAATAAAGAACAAGGTAAAAAAGAACAGTATATGATCTCTACCTTATTCTGAATGATTAAAATTGATATATATGATTCATCATGAGGTAGACAGCTAGTCATTGATTAAATGAATAATATATTTCCCATACTCAGTGCGGTGCTTCTGCCATCTGTAAACTGCTGACCACGAATGTCCTTTGTCTCATTATTAATGCATGAGCTTTTTTCATATTAAAGTTGTAACTCTATGTCATACATTTACTGTTTACTTTAGTATGAAATATCTTTCAGTACTTTTATAGTTTTTCATATTTAAATATTTAACCTACCGTGATTTATTTTTGTGTATGTTATGAAGTAGTATTTTTTCCCACATAGTAATCAAACTGCCCCAACATTTCTTTATGGATTCTGTATTTGATTTCTTTGAGTTGTTACTTGATAATCCCTATACAGAGCTCCACTTTAACTGCTATAACTTTATAGCAGTTACATTTTGCATTGTGGTATCCTATAGGGAAAGCCTTTTCAAATTTTCTTTTTAACTGGCATTACTTTTCCATATTACCTTTGAAAATAACTTTCAAAGTAATAAAACAATTCCTTTTACATTTCCATTGGAACTCAATTTGTATGTTAATGTTGGGCAAATTACTATTTGAAAAATATTGAGTCTTCCCATGCATGAATGACTTCCCATTTGTCTCTATTTTATATTTCATATCCTCAATAAAGTCTTATAGTTTGCGTATTTCTTTTAAGCCTAGGCATTTTATATTTTTCATTTTATACATATACTAACATGTTATTGCTAGTTGTAACATAATAAGAAATATGTACTTGGTTTCTACCCCTGGTTCCTGACACAGAGTTCCTAAAATCTTATAATTTCCTGAGGGACAGGGGCACTAGGAGCATCTTTTGTTCCAATATTTGGTTTCTGACACCAGTCCTGACACATAGCTCCTAAATCCCTTGGAATTTCCTGGGAGATAGGACCAAGAGTTTTTTGCTCTAATGAGGCGACTCTTGGTGGGTTCCTGAATAGGTTCCAAATGCAGGGGCTGGTCACTAGAAAGAAGCCATGATTAGAAGCTTGGAACTTCCAGTCCAACCCCCATCCCCCTCATCCTCTGGTAAGGAGAGGGGCTGGAGACTGAGTTAATAATTAATCATGCCTATGTGATGAAGCCTCCCAAAACATCCCTACACTGCGGGTTCAGAGAGCTTCCAGGTTGGTGAACACACATCCGTATACCAGAAGGGTGGCATACCCCAACTCCATGCGAGCAGAAGCTATTGCACGTGAGTTACTTACAGACCTTGCCCTGTGCACCTCTTCATCCTGCTGTTCATCTGTATGTATCCTTTATTATATCCTTTGTAATAAACAAGGAAATGTGTTTCCCTGAGTTCTTTGAGCAGTTACAGCAACTTACTGAACCTAAAGAAGGGGCTGTGGGAACCCCTTCTTTATAGCCAGTAGGTCAAAAGTACAATGACAATCTGGACCTTTCAACTGGCATCTGAAGAGGGGAAGTTTTGTGGGGCGGAGTCCTTCACCTGTGAGGTCTGTGCTAACTCCACGTAGTTAGTGTTATAACTGAATTGTAGGACACTTGGTTGGTGTCTGACGAGTTGCAGAATTGGTTGGTATGGGAAAAAAATCTCACACATTTGGTGTCGGGAATGTTATAAGCAGAGGGAAACAGTAGTTTACCTTTACTAGTATAGGAGAAAACAACTGATTTTTATGTTTACATTTTATCTGATCATTAAGTTCTTAGTTTTTCTCCTTTTTATTGTGAAAAATTATAATCATAAGTATAATTAAACAGAATAGTATAATGAACACTCAGGTGCACGTCATCCAGTTCCAAAACTTATCAACATTTTCTAACTATTTCATCTAAACATCCACTTGTTTTTGTTCTTTGAGTATATTAAAGCACATTCTAGACTTCATATTTCATCTACAACTATTCCAGTAGGTATAGCAAAAGATAATTATTTTTAAACATAACTACAATGCCAAAAAATTCAATGTAAATTGGGAACAAGTGTATAAATTTTTTCTGTTAAATCAATATGTCAATAGATATACTATAAATGCATTGGGCTCTTACAGAAAAGGTGTTTGAAATAAACAGAATAAGAATAATAATTCTACCAGATTAAGAAAAAAAATTAAGGCATATGTGAATTTTCTCTTGAAATGTCTGAGGCTTGCTTGCCAACTACATGTTTGTTTTACAGCTTTGATGAGGTATAAATGACATAGAATAAAATCCTCCCATTTTAAGTATGTAGCTCATTGAGCTTTGTAAATATATAGTCATCCAATTATCAGTATAATCACATTTTATAAACTTCTATCATCCAAAAAATTTCTCTAGGGCTTTTCTACAGTCAATTCCCACCCCTAATACTTTGCATCATTTTGCTTTTTTGAGGATTTAATGTAATGAATCATATAGTATGTAGCCTTTTGCTTCTGACTTTCACTTGCCATGATGTTTTTGAGATTCATCCATGTTGTTGTTAAGTACCAGTAGTTCCTTCGTTTTTACTGTTGAATAGTATTACACTATATAGATGTATGAAGGGTTGTTTATCCATTCACCAGTTCATGGATATTTGTTGGTTTCCATTTTTTGACTCTTATAGATACTGCTTCCATGAACAATGATATAGAAGTCACTGTCTGGACATATATTTTTATTTCCTGTGGACAGATACCAAAGAGTGGAATTCCTGGGCTATGTGGTCAGTGTATGTTTAATTTCTTAAGAAAATGCCAAACTTCTTTCCAAAGTAGCTGTACCATTTTGTGTTGCCACCAGCAATGTGTGGCTGTTCTGGTTGCTTCACATCCTTATCAACACTTGGTATTGTCAATATCTTCCATTTTAGCCATCCTATCAGTTTTTTAATAGTTTAGTAAATTCACTTTGATTTTCTAAATATACAACAATATCGTATGCACATAGTGATAACATTTCTTACTGCTCTGTCTAGAACCTCTAAACTACTAGCAAATAACATCAATAATTACAGACATCTATGACTTCATTTTTATTTTAACAGAAATACTTCCAGTATTTTATTGTTAGGATCTAACTATATTTGCAGTTAGTCCCATTAGGAAGTGTCCTATTTTAGGATAAGTTTTTATCACATATGGATACTGAGTTTTTATCAAGTGTTATTATGTTATTCAGCATCTACTTTGACTTTCTGATGCAATGAACTATAACCTAATACATTTCCTAATGTTGAATTATCCTTACATTTGTGAAACAACCCCTAATTAGATTTTTTTGATACACTACTTGGGTTTCTCCTGCTATACTGACTATACTTGATTTACTAAAATTTACATTAACATTTGTAAGTAAATTTGGCCTAGAATAGCATTTCCCAAAGTTTGTTCCATGAGGATGTGAGTACATGTTTGGGGTGGGGGTGGGAGGACAAAAAAACGAATTCTCAATTTCTTCCTTAGTCAGATAGGGGTGAAATACATCAAGAGACACAGAGAGAGATGGGTTAAGGTACTATTAGGAAGATTAAATAAGATAATGCCCAGAGTTGCTTAGTAAGTGAATGAGCTAGGATTTCAGCCCAGGCCAGTAACAGTCATCCTTGTGACCACTACACTCTGTTATGTCTGTTATTAAAAGATTACACATATGGCTAAAACAAAAACTTCTTAAAACAACATTGTAATGTAACAGAGCTAGAGATTTACATTAATTTTTTTTTAATCCTAAAATGATGGGTTCTCATTTATAATGAACCCTTTAAAAGGAATTATTCCAATCTAGACAAGAAGTTAGCCTACCTGAGTGTGATTGATTGCTATATGGTTGCCATGGAGAGGTGACTGACGATCCTTCTCCTTACTGTGCCGACTGCTCTGCTTACTACGTTGTAGTTGCTGCCTCAGTTTGGCAATCTGCTTTGGGGAGAAGGGATGAGAAGCAAGAAGAGAACAGAAGTGAATACCAAGCTTTAAGTATTTATTTCTTTAATTTTAGATGTTAAAAAATAAAATTTTTATCAAAGATTTCAAGAAGAGACAATATTCCACTACAATGATTTATTCTCCAAGTTTTAATAATTAAAACTGTTGAAAATAAATAAACATATGCTACAAATGCTTCACTTATACGATTTAAATATTGTTGGTAGATACATAGACTAAATTTCCCCAGATTATTTCATATTTTACCTTTGTAACACCAGAAACATCTTCCCCTTTAAACACTTTTTCTAAGATGAAAAACTAGTATTTCACATGCCTATTGATTAAAGTCAAACCCAGTCTCTTAATATAGGGACCTCATTAAGTTTTTAAGTTCCCATTTTATATAAACAAAATGGAACTGGTAGACCAATTACTAAACACTTTAAAATTGTAAATCCCATGGTGTAAATTGTATGGCATTTAGCATTAGTTACTTGTTAGTATTTAGTATCTTACTATTATATTACTCTTAGTCACAAAATCTTTATTTTCCAGCTTTATTGAAACATAAATGACATATAACATTGTGTAAGTTTAAGGTGTACAATTTTTTTTTAAATAAATTTATTCATTTATTTTTGGCTGCACTGGGTCTTCATTGCTGCAGACGGGCTTTCTCTAGCTGCAGCGAGCAGGGGCTACTCTTCATTGCAGTGCGCGCAGGCTTTCATTGCGGTGGCTTCCCTTGTTGCCGTGCCTGGGCTCTAGGGTGCACAGGCTTCAGTAGTTGTGGCACGTGGGCTCAGTAGTTGTGGCTCACGGGCTCTAGAGCGCAGGCTCAGTAGTTGTGGTGCATGGGCTTAGTTCCTCTGCTGCATGTGGGATCTTCGCAGACCAGGGATTGAACCTGTGTCCCCTGCACTGGCAGGCGGATTCTTAACCACTGCACCACCGGATAAGTCCCTGTACCACGTGTTGATTTGATGCTATTATATATTGCAAAATGACACCACTGTAGCATAAGTTAATACCTCCATCCCATTACATAATTACCATTTCTCTTTGGGGGTGAGAACATTTGAGATTTACTCTCTTAGCAACTTTCAAGTATATATAATACAGTATTATTAACTATAATCAAAATTCTGTACATTAGATCTCCAGAACTTACTCATCTTATAATTGGAAGTATGTACCCTTTGACCACTCCCCTTTACCCTCCAGTCTAGCAACCAGCACTCTACTCTCAGTTTCTATGAGTTTAGCTTTTCTTAGATCCCACAAACAAGCGATACCATACAGTATTTGTCTTTCTTTGTCTGACTTATTTCTCTTAGCATAATGCCCTCAAAGTTCATCAGTGTTGTTTACAAATGGCAGGATTTCCTTCTTTCTCATTGCTGAATGTATGTACCACATCTTCTTTATCCACTTCTCCATTGACAGATACTTGGCTACAGTGACACAACTTTTCAAAACAAATATAACTTAGGAGTGTATTCTCCTAAATGGAACTGTAAAACTCCCAGACTTAAGGCTTAAGAGAAAAGTCATTTCTACAATATGGCTTGGAATTCGTTAAACTATTAACATATTTTAGGTGCTGTATAATCTTCTTAAACTGTGCTAGACCTGAAGTAAAATATACCTGAGCATTTTCAAAGGGAATCATTAGCAATTTGGGGGAAGTTACTTAATATTGGTATTACTTTCCTTGTAGAAAAGATGACATTAATCAATTAACAGGTACTCCTTGAACACATACAGTGAGCTCAGTTTTATGTTACCTACTAGGCAAAGTGCAAATACAAAGTAAAGTGTGTAAAATATATTGATTTCCTCAAAGAGATGTTAGCAAAATGCTTACTTGGAATAACCATGGCAATGAAAAGCAAAATAGTTGCTATTAAAGCCTGTTAATGGTCAAGGGGAAATGTATATAGGTTGCTGGGAAAACTTACAAACAGAAGAGAAGCAGCATGGAAGAAAATAAAGCACCTAAAAGAATAATCTATACCCTTTTTATTAAATAAGATCCTCTAGTTTTTTGAAACTCTTTGTAGCTTATGGACATCCCATACAATTTCCTTGCAAAGATATATAAATAAGATTATCTATGTTAATATTTGTGTTCCTTGCTCTGTTGAAATGACATCGTTTTCTTCTAGAGAACATTAATTTTCATGAGAAAAGGAATCAAAATTAGTAGGTAGTCATTATAAATCAAGAGAGATTATATACTCTATGATAAAAATAAATAGAATTTCAAATTGTACAAGTTATTTAATTAGGATAGGGGTATAAAATTAAGTGTTTTCTGAATATTAATGATGTTTCAGTGGTTTTTCAAAACTGGCAAGAGCTTGTAGAGAAGAGCCCATAATGCTTACAGATTAATCAAAGCAATTTGTACTTTTTAATTTTTAAAAATAATCTTTAAAAATAATCTGAAAATTGATCAATCTTAATCACTTTTTTTAAAGGCCTTTGAGATATCATATTAAGCCGGAAAAGTTTTTGTTCTAAATAGCTTTACCAAACCCCGGAAAACAAAAAGCATACATAATGGTACACACCTTACTTTGCTTGGAATATCAACTTAAACTATGCAACCTTATAGTTTCCACACAATACTGTTTATCTTTGGTTTCTTTTCGTTTTTTTTTTTTTTTTGCGGTACGCGGGCCGCTCACTGTTGTGGCCTCTCCCGTTGCGGAGCACCGGCTCCGGACGCGCAGGATCAGCGGCCATGGCCCACGGGTCCAGCCGCTCCACGGCACATTGTATCTTCCCAGACCGGGGCACGAACCCGTGTCCCCTGCATTGGCAGGTGGACTCTCAACCACTGCGCGACCAGGGAAGCCCTAATACTGTTTATCTTTGGATTATAACATAGTTCTGCTTTTGTTTACAACTTAGAAGAGATCAGAGTATAAAGGAAGCCCATCTTACTAAATTTATATACTCAAAACATTACAACTCTTACTCAAGAACCATGTAAAATGAAAATAAGATATAGGGCTTCCCTGGTGGCGCAGTGGTTGAGAGTCCGCCTGCCGATGCAGGGGACACGGCTTCGTGCCCCGGTCCGGGAAGATCCCACATGCCGCGGAGCGGCTGGGCCCGTGAGCCATGGCCGCTGAGCCCGCGCGTCCGGAGCCTGTGCTCCGCAACGGGGGAGGCCACAACACTGAGAGGCCCAAGTACCACCAAAAAAAAAAAAAAACGATACAATAAATCCTCCTTTGCTTCAGAATATAGGAGGTTCCTGTGTTATTGATACCACATTCAGAAGAGGGGCTGACCTTTATAACAACTGCAAATATTCTCACCTCCCACAGCTTTTACTTAGAATTTCCCTTCTCTTTTCCCTTTGATGCTCAAGAGCCCATGGTCATCCGAAGCCGTCTCTTCTCCCTAAGTTCAGTACCAGCAGACAGTAGACACAAAGGCATCTCTGGGAGGAAGGGGCAGAGGGAGTTGTAATTTCTACCCTACACTCACACAGCCCTCCCATCTCATCCGTAGTTCCAAACCTCTGCCTAAGACAACCTCTCTAATCAATCCCATGTTCCAATGCATGACACAAAGCTCTTGGTCCTCACTTCGGTGGGCCTACCCACCCTAGTTACTACAATGAAATGCCCATACAACCTTCCTTTACAAAGGGAACCCTAAGTTATACTGACTGGATTTCTTAAACTATAGATGAATCTTACTTGTGTTTCTAAATATTCATTAGCAATGCTGTGGCCTTAAGGAAAAAATTAAGAATGGACCTTGAGGGTATTATACTAAGTGAAATAAGTCAGACAAAGAAAGGCAAATACTGTATGATCTCACTCATATATGGAATATGAAAAAACAAAAAACCAAAACCAACTCACAGAACCAGAGAACAGGGTCTGGTGGGGGGCGAAAATGGGTGAGGGTGGTTAAAAGGGTACAAGCGTCTGGTTATAAGATGAGTAAGTTCTGGGGATGTAATGTACAGCATAGTGACTCTAGATAATAATGCTCTATAGTATATTTGACAGTTGCTATGAAAACAGGTCTTAAAAGTTCTCCACATACACAAAAATTATAAAAATGTTGAGGTGATGGATGTGTTAACGAACCTTCTCATGGTAATAACTTTACAATATATACATATATCAAATCATTATGTTGTAGATACCTTAAACTTATATAATGCTATATGTCAATTATATCTCAATAAAGCTTAAAGAAAAAAAAATTAAGAGGGAAGGAGATAGGAGCATTCTTTAAACATGAAAGGGGTCCTAGGCACGTGAGCTCCAAAGTTTAAAAAAGTTAGGGACTAAGTAAGCCTGGGTCACAAAGAAGAAATAATATCGTAGAGAGAAGAATTAGCATAAATACAAAGAAATGACTAAAATATTTGTGGAATTAGATGAAGAAAAATCAGAGACTGGCCCCACTGAAAAGCTAAGAACTAGGAACACATTTCACTGTAAATTTTTGGAAATCTGATAACATCACCCTTGTTTATTTGCTATTTTTGTCCTGTTAGTTTCCCCCACTATTGTTAACATTTAAAAACAGGAAAAAAGGGCTTCCCTGGTAGGGCAGTGGTTAAGAATCTGCCTGCCAATGCAGGGGACACGGGTTTGAGCCCTGGTCCAGGAAGATCCCACATGTTGCGGAGCAACTAAGCCCGTGCACCACAAGTACTAAGCCTGTGCTCTAGAGCCCACGAACCACAACTACTGAAGGCCATGTGCCGCAACTACTAAAGCCCGCGCCTAGAGCCCATGCTCCGGAACAAGAGAAGCCACCGCAATGAGAAGCCCGCGCACTGCAACGAAGCGTAGCCGCTGCTCATCACAACTAGAGAAAGCCCGCGTGCAGCAACAAAGACCCAACGCAGCCAAAAATAAATAATTAATTAATTTAAAATAATAATAAAAATAAAAACAGAAAAAAACTAAACTCTGAGCCTGAAAAGACTAGTTGAGTACTTTTGCCTC